GTGTGTGTGTGTGTGTGTGTGTGTACTCACCTAGTTGAACTCACTTAGTTGTGTTTGCGGGAGTTAAGCTCTGGCACTTTGGTCCCGCCTCTCAACCGTCAATCAACAGGTGTGCAGACTCCTGAGCCTATTGGGCTCTATCATATCTACACTTGAAACTGTGCATGGAGTCAGCCTCCACCACATCACCTCCTAATGCATTCCATTTGTCAACCACTCTGACACTAAAAAAGTTCTTTCTAATATCTCTGTGGCTCATTTGAGCACTCAGTTTCCACCTGTGTCCCCTTGTGCATGTGCCCTTGTGTTAAATAGCCTGTCTTTATCTACCCTATCAATTCCCTTCAGAATCTTGAATGTGGTGATCATGTCCCCCCTAACTCTTCTGTCTTCCAGCGAAGTGAGGTTTAATTCCCGTAGTCTCTCCTCGTAGCTCATACCCCTCAGCTCGGGTACTAATCTGGTGGCAAACCTTTGAACCTTTTCCAGTTTAGTCTTATCCTTGACTAGATATGGACTCCATGCTGGGGCTGCATACTCCAGGATTGGCCTGACATATGTGGTATACAATGTTCTGAATGATTCTTTACACAAGTTTCTGAATGCCGTTCGTATGTAGGCCAGCCTGGCAGATGCCGCTGATGTTATCCTCTTGATTTGTGCTGCAGGAGACAGATCTGGCGTGATATCAACCCCCAAGTCTTTTTCTTTCTCAGACTCCTGAAGAATTTCCTCTCCCAGATGATACCTTGTATCTGGCCTCCTGCTCCCTACACCTATCTTCATTACATTACATTTGGTTGGGTGAAACTCTAACAACCATTTGTTCGACAATTCCTTCAGCTTGTCTAGGTCTTCTTGAAGCCTCAAACAGTCCTCTTCTGTTTTAATCCTTCTCAAAATTTTAGCATCGTCCGCAAACATTGAGAGAAATGAATCGATACCCTCCGGGAGATCATTTACATATATCAGAAACAAGATAGGACCGAGTACAGAGCCCTGTGGGACTCCACTGGTGACTTCACGCCAATCGGAGGTCTCACCCCTCACCGTAACTCTCTGCTTCCTATTGCTTAGGTACTCCCTTATCCACTGGAGCACCTTACCAGCTACACCTGCCTGTCTCTCACTGAAAAATTGGAGGCCTGGTCGAGGACCGGGCCGCGGGGACACTAAAGCCCCGAAATCATCTCAATCAAATCAATCATCTCAAGATAACCTCTCCAGGTTATGTACCAGCCTCTTATGCGGTACTGTGTCAAAGGCTTTCCGACAATCCAAGAAAATGCAGTCCGCCCAGCCCTCTCCGCTGTGTGTGTGTGTGTGTGTGTGTGTGTGTGTGTGTGTGTGTGTGTGTGTGTGTGTGTGTGTGTGTGTGTGTGTGTGTGTGTGTGTGTGTGTGTGTGTGTGTGTGTGTGTGTGTGTGTGTGTGTGGTGTGTGTGAGTGTGTGTGTGTGTGTGTGTGTGTGTGTGTGTGTGTGTGTGTGTGTGTGTGTGTGTGTGGTGTGTGTGTGTGTGTGTGTGTGTGTGTGTGTGTGTGTGTGTGTGTGTCTACTCACGTAATTGTGCTTGCTGGGGTTGAGCTTTGTCTCTTTGGTCCTGCCAACTGTCAATCAGCTGGTGTACAGATTCCTGAGCCTACTGGGTTCTATCATATCTACATTTGAAATTGTGTATGGAGTCAGCCTCCACCACATCACTTCCTAGTGCATTCTATTTATTAACTACCCTGACACGGAAAAAATTATTTCTAACGTCTCTGTGGTTCATCTGGGTACTAAGTTTCCACCTGTGTCCCCTTGTTCGTGTTCCACCCGTGCTGAAGAGTTTGTCTTTGTCCACACTGTCAATTCTCCTGAGAATTTTGTAGGTGGTTATGTCTCCACTTACTCTTCTGTTTTCCAGGGACGTGAGGTACGAGCCTTTCCTCGTAGCTCATTCCTCTCAGTTCCGGGACGAGCCTGGTGGCATAACGCTGAATCTTCTCTAACTTTGTCTTGTGTTTAACTAGGTATGGACTCCAGGCTGTACTCACCTAATTGTGCTTTCGGGGATTGAGCTTTGGCTCTTTGGTCCCGCCTCTCAACTGGTGTACAGATTCCTGAGCCTACTGGGCTCTATCATATCTACATTTGAAACTGTGTATGGAGTCAGCCTCCACCACATCACTTCCTATTGCATTCCATTTAATAACTACTCTGACACTGAAAAAATTCTTTCTAACGTCTCTGTGACTCATCTGGGTACTAAGTTTCCACCTGTGTCCCCTTGTTCGTGTCCCTCTCGTGCTGAAGAGTTTGTCTTTGTCCACACTGTCAATTCTCCTGAGAATTTTGTAGGTGGTTATCATGTCTCCCCTTACTCTTCTGTTTTCCAGGGATGTGAGGTTCAGCTCCTTTAGCCTTTCCTCGTAGCTCATTCCTCTCAGTTCCAGGACGAGCCTGGTGGCATACCGCTGAATCTTCTCTAAATTTGTCTTGTGTTTAACTAGGTATGGACTCCAGGCTGGAGCTGCATACTCCATGATTGGTCTTACATAAGTAGTTTACAGGGTCCTGAACGATTCTTTACACAAGTTTCTAAAGGCAGTTCTTATGTTAGCCAGTCTAGCATATGCCGCTGATGATATTCTTTTGATGTGGGCCTCTGGGGACCGGTTCGGTGTGATATCAACCCCCAGATCTTTCTCTCTATTTGACTCTTGCAGGATTTCACCTCGCAGATGATACCTTGTGTTCAGCCTCCTGCTCCCTTCGCCTAATTTCATTACCTTACACTCTTCTGAATTGAACTTTAGCAGCCATTTTCTAGACCATTCCTCCAGTTTATCCAGGTCATCCTGTAGTCTCTGTCCATCTTCATCCGTCTTGATTCTTCTCATAATTGTTGCATCATCAGCAAACATTGAGAGGAACGAGTCTATACACTCCGGAAGATCGTTTATATATATTAGAAACAGGATGGATCCAAGTACTGAGCCCTGTGGGACTCCGCTGGTGACATCTCGCCACTCTGATGTCTCCCCCCTCACCGTTACTCGCTGTTTCCTGTTGCTTAAGTATTCCCTTATACACTAGAGCACCTTCCCTTTTACTCCTGCCTGTTGCTCCAACTTTTTAACAGCTTTTTATGGGGTACTGTATCAAAGGCTTTCTGGCATCCAGGAAAATGCAGTCGGCCCACCCTTCTCTTTCCTGCCTAATTTTTGTTGCCTGGTCATAGAATTCAATTAAACCTGTGAGGCACGATTTACCATCCTTGAATCCATGTTGGTGGTGCGTTACAAAGTTATTTCCCTCCAGATGCTCTACGAGCCTTTTCCTCACGATCTTCTTCATCACCTTGCATGGTATACAAGTTAGGGAAACTGGCCTGTAGTTCAGTGCCTCTTGCCTGTCACCCTTTTTGTATATTGGGACTACGTTAGCTGTCTTCCAACTTTCTGGTAAGTCTCCTGTTTCCAGTGACCTGTTATACACCATAGCGAGTGGCACACTTAGTGCTTCTGCACCTTCCTTTAGTATCCATGGTGAGATTCTGTCAGGCCCAATAGCCTTTGTCACATCCAGCTCCAGCAGACACCTTTTGACCTCATCACTGGTGAGGTCAATTTCCACCAAGGTCGCTTTGTTTGCCTCCTCCTCATTTAGTGCAGGGGCTTCTCCTTGTTCTATTGTGAAGACCTCCTGGAATCTCTTCTTGAGTTCTTGTTTGCTGACGACGCCAAAATTATGAGAAGGATTAAGACAGAGGAGGACAGCTTGAGGCTTCAAGAAGACCTGGACAAGCTGCAGGAATGGTCGAACAAATGGCTGTTAGAGTTTAATCCAAGCAAATGTAATGTAATGAAGATAAAGGTAGGAATCAGGAGCCCAGATACAAGGTATCACTTGGGAGATGAAATACTTCAAGAGTCAGAGAGAGAGAAAGACCTGGGGGTTGATATCACGCCAGACCTGTCCCCTGAAGCTCATATCAAGAGGATAACATCAGCAGCATATGCCAGGTTGGCTAACATAAGAACGGCCTTTAGAAACTTGTGTAAGGAATCTTTCAGAACATTATATACCACATATGTCAGACCAATCCTGGAGTATGCGGCACCAGCATGGAGTCCATATCTAGTCAAGCATAAGACTAAACTGGAAAAGGTTCAAAGGTTTGCCACCAGACTAGTACCCGAGCTGAGAGGTATGAGCTACGAGGAGAGACTACGGGAATTAAACCTCACTTCGTTGGAAGACAGAAGAGTTAGGGGGGACATGATCACCACATTCAAGATCCTCAAGGGAATTGACAGGGTTGATAAAGATAGGCTGTTTAACACAAGGGGCACACGCACTAGGGGACACAGGTGGAAACTGAGTGCCCAAATGAGCCACAGAGATATTAGAAAGAACTTTTTTAATGTCAGAGTGGTTGACAAATGGAATGCATTAGGAAGTGATGTGGTGGAGGCTGACTCCATACACAGTTTCAAGTGTAGATATGATAGAGCCCAATAGGCTCAGGAACCTGTACACCTGTTGATTGACAGTTGAGAGGCGGGACCAAAGAGCCAGAGCTGCTCTCCCCTTTTCGCAGTTTCATCACTTGTTCCTTCACTGCTGTTTTCCTCCTGATGTGTCTGTGGAGCAGCTGTGGTTGGGTCTTGGCTTTACTCGCTATGTCATTTTCAAACTGTCTCTCTGCTTCCCTCCTCACTCGGAGGTACTCATTTTTGGCCCTCTGGTATCTCTCCCTGCGCCTCTAGTATCTCTTTCTGTGTGTGTGTGTGTGATTGAACTTTAGAGCTATTATATTGAACAACTCATAACGTGACTGCTATGTGCTGACAGCCACGTAACAATGAGTATTATTACGTATTCTGTAGTCTAAACGTTAAGGTTAAATATCTTGTCAATTACATACACGTTGTCTATAATATACTTCATTCCAGGTAAGAGCAAGGGCGTGGAGGTGGAAACAGCCGGTTATGCCGTCCTGGCCATGATGACTCAGGACAGTACACGCTTCTATCTCCAGGCCACAAAAGTTGTCAAGTGGATCTCCTCCAAGAGAAATGGTCAAGGAGGTTTTGTCTCAACACAGGTAAATTTTCTGCCCTCAGCTCTGAGAAGAAAATAATACTAAGGCTCATTCATTTATGAAAACCATATTATGACTAATTTATGTAATGCAACAATAGTATTGCAATTTTCGGAATATTAGACAAAATATAATCATCACAGCAAGAATTAAACAAAATCATTACATGGAACGAAGCAGATGTCATTTTACAGCAAAAATTAGTTAAAAGGAAAAACATTTTCTAACAACTAAGAATTTGTCAGTAAATATTTTCTAAGTCTGTTGATCTACTGCATATCGAAGAGGGCCTGACAGCTGAGTGGACAGCGCTCGGGATTAAATGTTCTAAGGTTCTGGGTTCGATCCCCGGTGGAGGCGGAAACAAATGGGCAGAGTTTCTTTCATCCTGATGATTTTGTTCACCTAGCAGTATATAGGTACTTGGGAGTTAGACAGCTGCTACGGGCTGCTTCCTGGGGGAGTGTAACAAAAAGGAGGCGCTGATCGAGGACCGAGCCACGGGCACGCTTAGCCCAAAAATTATCTCAAGATAACCTCATGATCTACATTACAATTTTTTAAACAATACAGGAGTTCCTTCAGTTTTGTCCATTTGTTTGTCGTGCTCAAAGATCCATATTCTTGTCATGTCCTGTTGTTGACAACTTCAGTTAGCCTTGGCGCTGAAGCTCCTGCGTTGGCATCACTACCATTCCTTAATTAAGTTAAGTGGCAGTTGAACATTTTCTGACAAAATACATTTAAATCTTCCATAATAATAAATAATATTAATATTGGCAGGACACTGTGGTGGCTCTGCAAGCTCTTGCCAGCTTTGAGAGCCACCATAACCAGGGCACCGAAGACCTGGAGGTCTCAGTCAGAGCACATCAACTCCTACACTACTTCCACATTGATCGCTACAACAAACTTCTTCAGCAAATGGTTCAACTTCCCACCATTCCCAGCAATGTTTTGTTTGACATGAAGGGAGAAGGTTGTGCCCTTGTTCAGGTGAGTTGTTTGTTATGGGGAGATGAGCCTTTACGTGAGATACTTGTTGAGGTGAGTAGTTGAGGGAGGCTGCGTGTTGAGGTGAGTAGTTGAGGGAGGCTGCGTGTTGAGGTGAGTAGTTGAGGGAGGTTGTGAGTAGTTGAGGGAGGCTGATTGTGAGGTGAGTAGTTGAGGGAGGCTGCGTGTTGTGGAGTTACTTGTTGAGGTGAGTAGTTGAGGGAGGCTGTGTGTTGTGGTGAGTAGTTGAGGGAGGCTGCGTGTTGAGGTGAGTAGTTGAGGGAGGCTGATTGTTGAGGTGAGTAGTTGAGGGAGGCTGATTGTTGAGGTGAGTAGTTGAGGGAGGCTGTGTGTTGAGGTGAGTAGTTGGGGGAGGCTGTGTTGTGGAGTTACTTGTTGAGGTGAGTAGTTGAGGGAGGCTGTGTTGTGGAGTTACTTGTTGAGGTGAGTAGTTGGGGAGGCTGTGTGTTGTGGAGTTACTTGTTGAGGTGAGTAGTTGGGGGAGGCTGTGTGTTGTGGAGTTACTTGTTGAGGTGAGTAGTTGAGGGAGGCTGTGTGTTGTGGAGTTACTTGTTGTGGTGAGTAGTTGGGGGAGGCTGTGTGTTGTGGAGTTACTTGTTGAGGTGAGTAGTTGAGGGAGGCTGTGTTGTGGTAGTTGAGGGAGGCTTGTTGAGGTGAGTAGTTGAGGGAGTTGAGGTGGAGGCTGTGTGTTGTGGAGTTACTTGTTGAGGTGGTGAGTAGTGAGTAGGGGGAGGCTGTGGAGTTACTTGTTGAGGTGAGTAGTTGAGGGAGGCTGTGTTGTGGAGTTACTTGTTGAGGTGAGTAGTTGGGGGAGGCTGTGTGTTGTGGAGTTACTTGTTGTGGTGAGTAGTTGGGGGAGGCTGTGTGTTGTGGAGTTACTTGTTGTGGTGAGTAGTTGGGGGAGGCTGTGTTGACTTGTTGTGGTGAGTAGTTGGGGGAGGCTGTGTGTTGTGGAGGTAGTTTACTTGTGGGGGAAATCTACTCCAGTATATATTATCATTCATAGATTCTTATAAGGACCATAAAAAAGTTTGTTGCTCTGAAACCTAGGGATTTTATAATAATAAATTTCATAATTAATTCATAATGAATTTAGATAAGTGGTCTGTAAAACTTCGATTTAAAGTGGAATGATTCCAATACACATCTTATTTTTTTTGGGGGGAGGGGTGTTAAATTCTATGATGTTAGTCTACATATCATGGAGAATAATATTCATTGATCATCTAAATTAACTAATGCATGGATTAATAAACTAACTATTGAATGGAAACAATTAGAGGCTTAGCTACCAATGTTGAACGAAGGTTACGTCCAGCAGCTTTATAACCAGTCTAATCCAGTCCGAGTCGGTTATCTCTGGCGAGAGCAATGCAAAAGATGTACAGTGACCACAACACAGCAGTTGCAACATCAGGATCTGCGGGTTGGTACAAGAATTCAACCAACTACGAACCACTTAGTTTGATGAAAGGGAACAGTAGAACAACAGAAGTACACTTACAACGCATCAGGCTTGGATACCCATGTGCATGGGAAATAGGCTTACAGGTTCCAGAAGATGAGAGGAAATGTCAGCACTGTGGAGAAATGCCCGACAGACCACTGGAACATTATCTAACACAGTGCACAGTTAAAAACCCATTAAGATTTGAACTTAGATTCAATAGAGCAGAACAAGTTTTTGAACACATATGACAAAATCTTACTGAAGCGACTATACAAGTCATAAATACTCGTACTCCGCCCAAGTAAAACAGAAACGAGCAACACTTAGTGGGCCAGCCTGAGGTTCAGGACCCGCGCAGGAATATCCCTGAAAAAAAATCTCTCGCGACACGGGACTCTGCCGGCTGAATAACGTTTCTCTTGCAGCTAGCTCCATGTTGAAATAGGAATAACATGTAATTTCCACTTAGAAGCATATGTTTATGCATTTATTCATTAAATTAAGTGGATTGGGAATAAAAATGCCACTCATGGGAGTTATTAGGTTTGTAAACTGCGGAACGACAAGACACCAACATGATTATATAATAATGGCTAAAATAATAAATCCGTGGTACTCTGTCTTGCCGGACGCGGTGTCCATAATCTCTTGAAGCTGTCGAATCGATGTGAAGCTCGCTACTGCACGGATACTCCTCAATTCGATCGATAATAATGACCTGCTCCAGGGCACCAAACTGTAATGGCCTCTCTCTCTGCCAAGTCTCCTGCTAGTGACATGCGCGCCACCTAGCGACGAATGTTGGAAATTTAGGGAATAATTTGCAGTATTTAATTATGGACTTCCGAATGGATGGAAACATTACTGACGTTATTTTACGTTACAGTAACGTAATCTAGGTAACAGCAGATTGTTTCTCGCTGTGCAAATCATTTAACCTAAATGACGTTAGATGGAAAATATATATTCGTAGTGGAAATTTAGTTCATTACTTTGTTTATTGGAAATATTTTATACAGTTGCGATCAGCTGTTCCAGTAAACAAAGTAATGACATTTCCACTACGAATGTATATTTTCCACCTAACGTCATTTATGTTAATTGATTTGCACAGCGAGAAACAATTTGCACAGCTTCACTCAACACTACCTTAAAAGAAACTGAACAGTTTTCAGAAAACTTATCCATGCATTCTGTGGATTCTGAAAACTCATTACATGAGGCTACTGAACATTATGCCTCCAAAGTGAACCTGAATTAATTAGTCAGTGACCAGCAGCCTAAACCTATGCAAGTCACAGCGACAAATGTCACTGACCCAACTACAGCCCCAGAGCTATTCTCGACGATAATAATTGACCACATTCAATCCTCAATGCATTTACAGTACCTCAGGGTAAGTCTTCACCAGAAGACCACATTTACAGTACCTCAGGGTAAGTCTTCACCAGAAGACCACATTTACAGTACCTCAGGGTAAGTCTTCACCAGAAGACCACATTTACAGTACCTCAGGGTAAGTCTTCACCAGAAGACCACATTTACAGTACCTCAGGGTAAGTCTTCACCAGAAGACCGCATTTACAGTACCTCAGGGTAAGTCATCACCAGAAGACCACATTTACAGTACCTCAGGGTAAGTCTTCACCAGAAGACCACATTTACAGTACCTCAGGGTAAGTCTTCACCAGAAGACCACATTTACAGTACCTCAGGGTAAGTCTTCACCAGAAGACCACATTTACAGTACCTCAGGGTAAGTCTTCACCAGAAGACCACATTTACAGTACCTCTTCAGTCTTCACCAGAAGACCACATTTACAGTACCTCAGGGTAAGTCTTCATCAGAAGACCACATTTACAGTACCTCAGGGTAAGTCTTCATCAGAAGACCACATTTACAGTACCTTCGGTAAAGTCTTCACTAGAAGACTGCATTTACAGTACCTTCAGGTAAGTCTTAACAAGAAGACCTCAGTTACAATGCCTTCGGGTAAGTCTTGATAAGAAGACCGCAGTCATACAAAGTCTCTCTGGACTAGGATTTAGTAATCCACTTAATGAAATATCACCTGCAGGGTTGCATCAATTTTTGGTTGGCACTACTTCTTCTTTCTTGGTTTTGCCCTTAAGCATTCTTAGAGATGTTTTTGAGGAAGCACCTTAGCACAAGCAAAATTGAAATTGTCAATAACCTGTAAGTGAACAATTACCAGAGAACTATCAGTAGTGAAACAAATAGTTTCTCAACATAATAAACTCACAATAATCCCTTAAGTTATTATGTGCTTAGTTATACCTCAAGAGGGTTATAGCACTAACTTAACATGTATAAACCGAGCGGGTCTATTGCTCACACATAAACTTTTTAAGCTCTATGTACTTAGTTATACCTCTAGACGGTAATAGCACTATTGCCTAACATATATAATTAGCATTCACCCTCTACTTAGGTAGGTTTAGGGAAATTAGTTAGGGTCAGCCGAGTACAAGTTGAATCTGTACTCACTAAAGCAATACAGCTGACTACATTCATAGAGACTGATACCAACATACTCAGTTTTCTAAATAAAATAGAATTTAGCTAGGTTAGAAACTTAGCTATCATTATAGAATAGCCAAAAATACCCGTCCAACAAGGACTGCACCTTAGGGCAAATTTAATTTTGCATAAATACAGATGATTCCTCGTTCAAGGTTGTGGTGATCTTATGAGTCTCCAGTGATGAGTTAGTGTCTAGTAACTCAATTAGTTACAAGTCACAGGGACAGACGTTGACCTCACTGTAGATTCGGAGTCTCCTTGATCTGAAAGGGACATAATGAATAATCCATTAATCATTAAGTAGCTGTTCCCATGATGACAGATTAATGACTTAATCGGTTCAAATCTGTTTCACAGAAACAGTACATCCGTCATGTACATACTAATGTACTAACATGTCAGAATTTTATAACTTCAGGGGGAGAGTATTGTTACCAATCTTACGTCACGGCTCGAAACCCTGACAACAGCAAGACCTTAAATGTCTAGGGCAACTACGAACTGCTGTTCACTAGAGCGGGGCACCAGTGTAACCACATGATTGGCACAGGCAATCATAAGATTTCTCCCTTAGGACTGAAGAAATATACATATATAGTTATAATATATATTAACAATACAATATAAAGTACAGATGGACAAGATCACTTATAAAACAAAATCAAAAGTACTGTCTCTCCTATAACATAATATATTATGGCAAAACACAAATGTAACAAACTTATCTCCCAAAGATGTTATCCCTCCTGGTCCTTGATAGCTACTGACTACTAAAGCGACCACAGTAAAAATCATTGCTTCCGCTCCGTGAAAAATTTCCAAACTTACAGAGTATTAATTAAATTTACATGGAGCAATATATTGTGACAAGAGTAATCTTAAACTAACTTAGTTAATGCTCAGATAAACATGCATAACAGAGATACTGTAATTATTACTTCATGCAGTAATTAAAATAAAACAAGAGAGGGAAATGTTGGCACGCCC